TGTCTTTCACAAAATATGTACTAATGGTTTAAACGAGTGATCTCAAAAATGCTGATCAATCAGGGTTAATTATTAATTAAGCTACGAAGCGTACTTTCTCTGAATAAATCTACCTTTTTTAAACGGATTTGAATTTTTAACTATCAATAAATAGAGGAAGAAACAGCAATCTGGAAAATATGGTGCCAATAGCTTCGGCAGTTTCGATCCCTTATTGCTAATTTCACTTTTTATGCGTTTCCCATACCTCAAAAATATTTTAAATTATTCGAAAAATTTTTGCATACACTTATAGGTTTAAGCCAACGAAAGCAAAAATGTTAATAGTTTTTTTATTATTTTTATCACTTTTTTAATAAGGGTCGAAAAATATTAAATTATAAGTTATAGCAATTTTTAAGCCATTTCAAATGACAAAAATACAAAATTTGTGCGAAATCGGCTGAATAGCTTCTGAGTTATAAATTTTTAAAAAGTTCTCATTTTTAAATTTATTTTTGAGAAACCATTTTACCGATTTCTTTCAAAGTTTGTATTTGTGTCATTTTAAATTAGATAGTTTAAAATGATATACGTATTGGTATAAAAAAGTTATAATTTACTCGATACTTATTAAACAAAATAATAAAAATGCATTAAAAATTATTTTTATCTTAAGAGAAATTAAACGTATAATTAAGTGCAAAAATTTTAAAAAAGGGTTTGATCAGTCTAATGACTAAAAGCTTCCCCTGTATACCTTATTTTTGAAAGAAAAAAAGCATAATGATTAATCAATACAGCAAACAATAAGTAAAATATTTAAGTAAGTATATATTATCATCAGTGTTATACGGGGGTAAGTACAAAATAATGAAAATACTTCTATACTTCTTAAATTTTTTTCATATTTCTCAAGAAATACTTAGAGAAAAAATTAAAAAATTTCAGAAGTGTTTATATCATGCGATTTCCTATAGGAGAGAGTCGGGTAGCCCCGCCCACTTAAGGAGTATTGCTTATATTTCTGTATAATACTGAGTAATAATCAATATTTTTGTATGTCTCTATTGTTTTACCATCTAATTAAATAATGCAATAAGAATAAACCAAAAAAGGAATAGTTTAACTTAAAAAAATGGAAATTTAAAAAAACATTTTTTTTAGCTCTTTTCAAAATGTATCGGGTCGCTCCGCCCAGTTACAAAAATTATGTTTTTTGACTGTATATATTGACAATAGATAAACCTTATTTATCATTTTTATCACAAAATTGTTTTATTTATTACATATTAACATACTTTTAGTGAATTCTATAATTTAATAACAACAATATTTGTTGTTAAAAATGCATATAACATTCAAATTTGAAGCAATAAAATAATAATCTTTGCAACCGTACATTTATCGACGAAATAAAATTGGGCTGTGATACCCGACATTCATGTGAGCGGGGCTACCCGAAATCCAATTTTTTTGTAAATTTGTAATGACTCGAACAATTTTTCACACATAAACTTCTTTCTTCGTACAAATTAAACTTAAGACTACATACTTTAATGCTGTATGTAAGATAAAATTATTTTTTTAGTATTAAAATGAAGTTTAATCGAAACATTAAACCAATTTTTCTTAATTTCATGACTACCGTATTCAACATATTTTCAAAACTATTGCTTACCATGTTAAGAGCTGCATAATTAATTGAAACTTTGAAAATAATCTTTTTTTAATAATGCCCGATGGCCCATTGACTTGAAAAAATATTCTATACATATGAAATTGACTGTGGGCGGGGGTACCCGACTCTCCCCTACATGTCTATAAAAATTAAAGCTTTTGAAAATTTCAGGGATCGACAATAAATTAGAAACAAAAAAAATTTTTAAGCCTACTATGTTAAAAATATATCGATAATAATCTTCTAATTAAATTTGGTTGTTATATTCCATAACTGAATATAATAACCGAACAATTTCGTAAACTTATCTTAAATACTCATGGAGATATGGGCATTTTTTTTAAACTAATTATTTTGACTTGCATTTTCTTACTATAACTATAGAAATATTCAATGAAATTGAAAAATCGTTTTTAGAAATTTTTTAATGAATTATTAAAATATCATTTTAAAATTTGAAAAAGATTCATTAAAAATTACGCAACATATAAGTGTTTAAAGGAATTATTTCATACTGCGCTTCCGCGGCAAACATTTAAATAAAAATGTTTTCATAATGTTTTCATTTTTTTAATCATATTTAGTAAAATAAAGAAGAACTTGAACTATTCGAACATCTTGAAAATGTCATAAGTTTTTGAAAATATTTAAAATAGTTTTCGTACTTTTTCTCTTTTCTTTTCTGCTAAGGGGTTTTCCATCATTTATAAAATTGTTATATACAACTGTTATATATAACTATTATATATAATAAATTTATTATACATAGTAAATTTTATTTTTTATTATATAACGAACTTTAATTACAAATCATAATGCCCTGAAATGATGATACGGAACAAAATGAGATGATATTAGGAAATGAAACACATGAAATAATTTAATCGGGAAAGATTCTATGTAATGTCTAAGCCATTTTTAATAAATCTGATTGATTGATCAAAATATAATTTGAGGAAAGCCCCTTACCACTAAAAGCTTTCTTTAAATTTTCCTAAACTACTTAGATAACTACTAAGACCTTTTTACATTTTTAAGATATCCAAGTCGGTTTCTTTTCAGAAGTTTCCAAATAGAGTTTAAAATAAATGCATGAAGAAAAAAATTTTTTTTAATGTTTTTTGTGCTTGCACCGTATAAAAGGATTACTTTAAACACTTATATCTTGCGCCACTTTTATTTTTTTTAAATTTTATAATAATATTTATAATATTATCGAAAAATTATAGAACGTTCTTTTTTAAATTTTATTGAATATATTTGCTGTTATAGTTAGAAAATGCAAAGAAAAATAATTAATCTAAAAAAATGTCCAAGTCTCCATGAATATTTAAGCTAGATTTACGACATTTTGTGCATTGTTGCAGATTTTAACCAAAGTAATAGATTTACGTTACAAGTTTATCGCCATAGTTTTTGATATAGAATATTCACGAAATTTGTTTTTTGTTCTTAATTTATTGCAGTCCCCTCAAAGTTTTAAATGCTTTAAACTTTATTGATATGCATGAGAAATTGTATTATCTAAAATTTTCTAAAGTTTCAAAATGCTTCTGGAGAAATAAGAAATGTGTTAGTATAGAAGTTTTTTTTTTATTATTTCAACAACTCCTGTTTTTGTTTTTCTCTTTCAATATTAAGTGTTTTCTTTATTATAATTCATTACAATTATTCATTACTATTGTTCAATACTAATATTCATTACATTTAACAATGAGTTTTTATTCTAGAAAATAAGTCGAAATTCGTAATTTTTGCAAGTATATATATACAATATAAGTACCTGCAAAACCAACCTACCTAAAACGTACCTAGAAAATATGTATACTATAATATATTTACAATAGCAAAAATAAATTTAAAAAATCTCAAGAGAATGTTTGAAACCCTGACGGTAAACGTAAAGATATCGCATTTCGAAATGAGCTACTCTTAAGTAAGTTATTTATTCTGATTTTATTTTTGTAAAAACATGCAAAAGCTTTGAAATTTCTAGACGAAAAACACTCTTTATTTGAGAATTTTTTTTAAGAGAGAAATTTCTATTTAACTATGAAAAACATATAATTTAACTTAAATGTTTAGTTGTGTAGTTTAAGTCTTTAAAAATATTTTAAAAAAAAGAACCTATACGTGAAATCTACGATGCTGCGAAAATTTTCTGTATCGGTACAACAACAAATTGAGAAAAATCGAACACTTACAATTTTTAATAACGTAGCTATCTTTAAAGATAAAAAACTAAACCCTCATTTAGTTAAATAGGTTTAATCTTGTTTAGTTAATAGATTTAATAAATAAAAAATCAATAATAAAATATTTTTCATGGTCCTGAAGCATAATAATTAGCATTTTACATTTAGTTGCACCCAATATTATCATCAAATAAAAACATGCACATTATCTTCCTTTCAATAATACACAATAATACAGACAAAAAGGTGGGAGGAAAATTACCACAAAAGTTTTATTTAATATCATATGCATTCTAACTATTTCAAGAAATTTTTCTTATGGATATATAAATTATTAAGGGTTTAACTATTAAGAACAAACATCGTACCTAGATACTAAAATTATGTTTGCGTAGAAACTAGAATTTTACAGAAAAGGAAATTCATGAATAACAAAATATTAGTAGAGCATGAGACGCAAAAACTGGATCTTGCCTGTCATTCAATTAGCTTTACTTGTTTTCTCTTATAAAAAACTGCCTGTAAAAGCCTGCATTTATTATTTTATGAGGAAATATCCATTCATTAAAGCTCAGAAACAAAAGTAAAAACTCAACATTCCATTTTGCATTCCACACTTTCCTGTTAATTCCTTTCTTAAATATCAAACAATTCATTCAAATGTTAACTATTCAAATTTCATCCAGGAAACTTTCTCGGACTCACTTGCGTGCAAATAATTTGAGCATTTAATATAATGGTGAGTATTAATAATGATTTTTATCTAGACTGGAAAAATCAAAACTAATTAGAATTTAATAAATCTTTCAAAATAATCATCTATAATACAAGAAACTAGGTTTTTTTATGAAGATTAGTCTTGTTAATTCAGATTCTTTTTTTTTCTCTGTTAGCTCTGAAGAACTGACTTGACTCAATAAATCAAGGCTAATTTCAAGCATGAGAATCAACACGAAGCTTTTTATACAATCCCAAAATATTCACACTAGTTTCTGAAGAAAATTTCTATGAAGAATTCATTCATCTTATGAAGAACTGTGAACTTTTCTTAACAACGCAACATTTTTACACATTTTTAGACATCAATAACTTGCTTAACTTAAAGAACTTGATCTAAAATTAAACCTAAAAGGATTTTATAAAAAATGAAGGCATATTTTCCAACTAAACTTAGAATAGCAGTTCTACCCGCTAGCAGAGCCATAGACATTGAAAAAATCAACAACACAACCATTATCTCGGGTTTTGATAGTGAACTTATAAAACTATTGTCGCATGCACTAAATTTCGAATATGATATTTTTGTTCCCTCAGACAATTCGTACGGTTCCATGGATGCATTCGGAAACTGGACTGGAATCGTTGGAATGGTCGCAAGAAAGGAAGTGGACATGGCATTCAGCACTATAAGTATTACAGAAGAGAGGTCATCTGTTGCAGATTTCAGCGTACCCTACTACAATCTTGAAAAAACATTCCTGATGAATCACGCTTCATTCTCGCAAAAAACAACAGCATTCGCGTATCCTTTCAGCGGACTCACGTGGATTTTATTCTTCGCCGTACTCCTCATTGTGACAGTGCTATTTCGAGCTTTGATTTCGCCGAAAGATTCCATTATTTCGGTTTTCTTCAATTTGTGGGGTTCTTCTTTCGGACAAGGAATAAGCTACAACCCTCGTTCAATGTCCAGGCGGATACCACTTGGAATTTGGCTCCTTTATTCATATGTTCTGATTCTGGGTTACAGCTCTGTCCTGCTATCGTTTTTGACATCCCCAATCAAAATGAAACAAATAAAAGATTTCAAAGATCTCTACACCGAAGTCAGAAAAGGGAAAATGGAGTGTCTAGCAGCTGGAGGTACCTATGAAGCAAATTATTTGTCGCAAAGCATTGTACCTCATTTGAAAGGATTAGGGGAATACATTCAAAAGAATAAATGGTACTACTATTCTAATATCAGCCACATTGTTCCGGAACACGTAGCAATACTCGGGGCACCCATTCTATTTCAAGTATTTTTGGGGCCGCCAGAAATGTACTTTTATTCGAAAGATGTTTTTGGAAATTTTCTTTCAGGTGTTGCCATCAGAAAAGGTTTTTGCTGCAAAGAGCGCTTCAATAAAATTCTACTCCGAATTTTAAGTGGCGGCATATATAAAAAAATCGCGGAAGATGAAATTTTTAAATTCTTATTAGTGAGAAATTTGAACAGTAATTATTCTCAGAGTACACCTGTCTTACCTTTAGACTTATCAGATTTAAATGGTGTTTTTCTTATTCTTGGGGTAGGCTGGGCAGTAGCTATTTTTACTTTGATAATGGAAATCACTTACAGCGTATGGTCGAGCTCAAAACCTGATATGTAAATGACTTTTTGCTTACACAGCCCTCATTATCACCTTTTTACAAGAACAATATTATTACAAGTTTTGAAATTAAGTGCTACTAAATCCTATTTTAGCTTTCTTTGATATAACTACTACTTGCATCTATAAACATTACTTTCAAAATACTTGAGGAAAAGCTCTTACATCGTAGCTTTTCAAAATCTTACAAATATTGATTTTTTTAAAAAAATAATTGTATTAAGACAAATCTAGTGGATAAATTAGGAAGCTTTTTTTTTATCGGACATTCATGCACAACAGTAATTTCGCTGTCTACTCGTGTTAAATCTTTAAGTCAAAAGATTTTTTTTTCTTTAAATTTTCAATGCAAATTTTGAGCACACTGTGATTAGACAGCGCAGAACTAAAGTAATGTACAGATGAATAATACATCATAAATATTATAAAATACAAATATTTAGCAGCTTATTATGTAATGTTTTACTTGTTTTTGAATATTTCTTGGAGCTTTCAATGACACTTTGTTTAAAACGTTGCAGAGTAGACTAAATTGTACATCGTTCATGAGCAGTCTTAAAACGGTGCATAGCATGATTTAGGAGGACAACTATTGAACGGGTCATTTAAACCTTACTACAGATGGCTGAGAAATATTTATAAGGTGCCTTTTATCCTTTACTAAATTTCCTACCACGCAATAGAGACTTGTAATGTATACAACAATTGAGACAACATTACATCAATTGAGACAGCATAGCATAACAATTGAGCGCTACAACAATTGAGAACTCTGCTTAACAAGATTTAACTGTTCTGGTGGATCTGAAATTTAATTAAACTGACCTTTTGAGGGCTGAATAAAGAAACGGAATTATTTCAGTTTATTTAAATCCTCATGATGAAATTTATTTTTCTTACTCTCAGGAAGAAAAAAAATGTGATGAAAAACTAAGTGAAAAGCCTTCTAATTAGTCAATTTATGAAGTAATAATTGTCAATTAGCAATATAACCACATGTCTCAATACCTTTTATGTCAGAGGTTTCAATCAAAAGAATTACTGAAAGTTAAGAAGAAATTTGTATATACATCCCAAAAACATATGCAGCCCTTAATAAAGTCACGCATGAACTTTATAATTTGTACCATTTTGTTCCATTAAAACTTTATAAGCTTATAACATTTTAACTCTGCTTGTAAATTTAAGATCACATTTCGTATTATGCTGTTAAACAACTGTTATATATATATATATATATATATATTACTTAACTTTTTTTCTTAATCATAAATTCACAATAGTTTTGAGGCTTGTACATATAAGGGAGCACGAATCCCGTATTCTAAATCGTACCATTAGCAAAAAATAAATAAATAAATAAATAATAATAATAATATTCAGTACTTACTGCACTTATACGATAACCAAAAAAATAATATAAGTAGGCGTATTTTATTATTAAACTATTTCGAATGTAATATAATAAATGTAAAATATGTGAAATGTTTCGAATGTGTTAATTATTTTTGAATTATAAAAATTGATGCGTGAAAAGTGGTATGATTTCCTCAACATTAGCAGGTTATAGTTATTTTGTAATTATCTTTCAATTTGAATTCTTAAAACTATTTTCAGAATTTTTTTTTCAATCAATATTACAATGCTTATGAAATGAACGTAATAAATATTTACTTATTTATAATGTTGTACCACGTCATAGTGAAATATCTTTTTTACCAAATTAATATTGTGTATCAGATAATTTTGTTCATTTTTTTTCATATTCATGATGCAACCAATTCAAGATGTCTACAAGTCTCAGTTGGTTCGGAAATATTTTATCAGACATAAAGGACTATTCATATACGAACCGTTACTCGTAGAAGTATGAAAATTTAGACATAGCTTTTTATATTTAGATAAATTTCTCCAAATAATAAAGAGTAGCAATTCTTAATGGTAAAATAAATTATCTCATGTAAAGAATTTTAAGAAACAACTTAAATTTTAGATCGCATTTTATTCTCTTTTTTTTTTTTTTGTTCTATGGAGTTCATCAATGTGTGCAGTCAACGGCTCATTAAATGATGTAATCTAATTAAAGAAAACAAAAATCTAAGAAATGTTTTTGTTACATTAGTTTTCTACGAAATGAATTATAACCTATAACTTATGTAACCCTCTTTGATATTGTATTGATGTTTTAATGTACTTGCCCGCTACAAGAATTGCTAATGTTATAAGCATTTTAATATCCGCTACAGCAATTATAAATGGTATAAGCCATTTTTAAGTTTTATTTGCGTTTCCATGTAGCAGCATGCTTCGGGAATTGCTAATGATATGTGTGTCTTTTTGATGTTTTAATGTATTTACCCGTTCATAGGAATTATAAATGATGTAACCCTCTTTGATATTGTATTGATAATTTAATGTATTAGCCAGCTTCGTGAATTGCTAACGTCATAAGCCTTTTTGCTGTTTTAATACAATAATCCACTTTCAGCAATTATGTATGATATAAGCCATTTCTTAACTTTTAATGACGCTTCAATGTACTAGCAAGCAATTGCTGGGAAACAGCAGCGTACGCTTGTTATCGAAATCAAAGAATTCGACATAAAGAGTTTAACGAAGGAGACCTTGTTGTTGTTTTAATTCCAGATAGTGATAACAAAGTTTATGCCAGATGGAAAGGTCCTGCAACTATAATTAAAAGATAATCTACGTAGAGCTACTTAGTGCAACTTCCCGACGACGACATCAAACATGTTCACGCTAATAAAATAAGATAATTCAAAGCATCAACAAATAACGTAGGAGTTATTTACGATGCTGATATAGACTTTAGTGACATAGGAAACGTCCCGAGGATTGCTCTAGTAAATCCCGATCCAGTCATTGATGTAGACCTAAAGCATCTAGATCCAGATAAGAGAACGGACATACTAAAAATTCTTTGAAAACATTCCAACCTTAGGTCTGGTGTTCCACGAATCGCAAATGTTGGAGAACATAACATTAAATTAAAACTAGGAAGTGCTCCTAAGAAACAAAAACCTTTTAGGATTCCAGAAGCTTTGAAGGAAGAAGTTGATCGCCAAATAGAGGAACTACTACAACTTCGACTGATAGTACCATCCGAAAGTGAGTATGTGCATCCGGTAGTATGTGTCTCGAAGAAAGACGGATCGGTTCGTTTGTGTGTTGATTACCGATATTTGAATGCACAGACTGGAATAGATTCATTTCCAATGAAAAATTCTACTGATTAGATTTACCAAGTGTCTAAAGCCAAGTACATCACTTTAATAGACCTACTGAAAGGTTATTGGCAATTGAAGCTTAACCCTGCTTGCCAAGACCTGACATCATTTGTAACTCACCGAGGACAGTATGCTTTCGTTGTTCTACCATTTGGACTAGGTAACGCAGCTGCTACTTTCCAAAGAACTATGAACAAGGTACTCTCAAAACACCGAGACTATGCCGAATCTTACATAGACGACATAACGATTTACTCTGATGACTGGGATACTCATCTCAAACACCTGAATGCAGTTATGACTACTCTAGAAGAAGCAAAATTTTACCGTTAATTTCAAAAAGTGCGATATACGTACCTTGCGAGTTTATATAAGTACCCTTTTTTTATGTTTATTTTGATATCTATTAATATGACTTGAGTTAAAAATTTATTTTCTTTAACCTGAGTTGTGGTTTAATGTTAAGTAAAACTGTTCTATGGTATATTTGAAAATGCTTAAATCATTAACATAAGATTATTGTCTGTGAAGTGATAATTCATACGTAACTAATTCATTTATGAATGCTATAAATTTTGTTTTAAACTATTAGTAGTTTTTTTTTGGGGGGGGGGCAGCTAAAATTTAATTGTTAAACGAAAAGTAAACAATTGTTTTCTCTTTTTACGCAGTTATTGATTGAATTTTGCTATATTTTTGTCATACAAGTAATTTTATGTTAATTTTTATGTGTATTAATGTTTGTGTTGGTAAATTTTTAAGTATGTGTTAGTAAGTTCTGTAATATAATAAATATGATATGTTTGTTAATACAAATTTGATTTGTCTTCAAGAAGACTCAATCAAATCTTAAGGAAGGGAGGTGTCGGGTAACTCTAGCAGCTCCCCTCCTCTGCGCGCATGCGCATTGTCCGATCCTCAGTAGTGATGGGCAATAGTAGGTATTTACAAATAACAGGTTCCAGCTGTTACAATACAAAATAATACCTGTTGCAAATACCTGTTCCAAAATAACAGGTCTAAAGAAAAAAATTTCAACTTTTTTACATTTGAAAGATAATTTAATTCTTGTTGTTGTAGTTAATTTACGCTGCACTAGAGCGGCACAATGGGCTATAGGCGATAGTCTGAGAAACATCCCTGAAAATGATCCGAAAACAAGCCATTACAATTTTGATCCTCTGCAGAGGGGGTGTCACCTCTGCTTCGGTAGCCCAACGACCTGCACGCGAAGTCGAGCGCTTTACAGTAGAACAGTTTAATGAGGACCAATACCGCACACCCCGTTCCCTACGCACACTGATCCAAGTGATCACCCACCCGCACACTGACCGCAGCCAGAAATGTAGTTAATGACAAGTATTTTTGTAGCAGATACATATTTTTCTATTAATTTGACAAAATTAGGAAATACATATTTTTCTTTCTAAGAGTAAGAAAATATCGCGAAGTTTGTTCTAGTTCTTTTTTAAGCAAAAAGAAAGAAGTTACACATTAATTTCTCTTTTATTCTCTACTGTTTAGGCTCGGTGAAAAAATTATATTTCGTCCTTTTTTATGTATATATATATTTTTCTTTTTGTGATTATACTTAAGATCAGGTAGTTTAATTTGGTTAAAAACACTTGAAAAGCATTTTCGTTAGTGTAATCAAATATAATGAATAATAATAGATACAATAATTTTTGTTACAAAATATAGTTCTTTTAATTGCATTTTAGGAGAAATGAGTGAAGCAGAAAATTTTTTTTTTACAAAATTTGCCTCTTTTTTACTAGCATTAATTTAGAAACAGATTTATTACTTGTTTCTAAAAAAAAGGATATAGGAGTTCACTATTACATTTTGTTTGACGATATAACCAGAATCTTTTCATTTCTACGAGAGGAAAAAAAATGGAACTTTAATATTGAGATAAATTAGAAATTTAAAAAAAAATTCATTTCTGAATTTAAAATACAACATAGTGTATTATTATTTTTAAATAAAAACAATTTAGGAATAGCACATTATATTCTGTATATGGGAGAAAATAACCAGCATTTTTTCATTTTATATAAAGAAAAGAAATAGGGCTTAGTTGTCTTCTAGAATTTTAAGTTGACAAAAATGAAATTAAATATAACCTAATACCTAAAAATTATCTAACTACATGCAGTGCAACCTTGTCGCAACTTTTTAAATAGTTCGAATAACATCCTTTGATAGTTTTAGGCTAAAAAAGTATTTATACTAAAATGTAATTGATTGAGATTTACCAATTTGCACCAGATAAAACATTTAACTAATTAAATATAAATAGAGCATAATCCCAGACTTTTAAACATTTTTTTAAAGTAAATATTCAAAATAAACACCAGTATACGAATTAAGCATAATTTTTAAAGAAACAAATCTTTTTAACAATTCTTAACTTTTCTTGGATTATTTAAATAATATTTTTCTTTCAAAACAATTATCACATTAATATCAAAATATCACATACTATGTAGCCTTAATGGTAATTTTAACGTCAAAAGAAAATTCAAAACAAGAAAAAAAAGAAATTTGCCAAATTAACTGTAATAGACTTTTTTCATTCCTGCAGAATATTATCATTTAAAAATATATTATTTATTTTCTTCAAAAATTCAAAGTAAATGAATCTTTTAAGCAACAAAATAATAGGCAATGGCAGAGAGACATCTATTTCTATGCGAGTGGATGAAATTCAACTCAATTTCAAATCGCTCTTCACATAGAACACTGATTAAATTATTACAAGTAACTACGAGGAGGGAAGTAAAGGACACGCTTTCATGCAAAGACATGGAGAGAGTCAATTCGTAACCTCGAAGGTCACGGTCGATCTCGACCTCGAAAAGGAAGCCGCCGATAGCAGCGAAAGCAAGGGTGGTGGTCCGAAAGTTAGGGGACCAATGGCGTAAAGAGTTGTCTGGATTCTCAAAGTAAACTACTTGATTAGATGTCCCCCAAATGACGATTGTAATTATTACAGTAGATACAGTAGGCGGAAAAAAGAGACAATAAAAAAAATTGGAGCATTTTTATGTAAATATAGGCCGTAGTTACCCTATACTAGGCAATTCACTATTTCAAACAAAAAATCCTGAATTTTTCATTAAATGTATAAAATATATAACTTTAATGACCCCTAAAACTTTATAACTAAGCTTCATTATTAAATCACATTCATAAAATATTTTGCTTAAAAAAATATTTACATATTATTCTACTACCCTTCATCTTCTCAGTACTATTGTACTACCCTTCATGCTTCGTCATAAGTTCGGCATTTTAAAGTTGTTGTTATTGTTAATTTACGTCGCACTAGAGCTGCACAATGGGCTTTTGGCGACGGTCTGGGAAACATCCCGGAGCATTTTAAAGTAGAAGATATAAAAAAGGATAAAGATTGGGCGGAAAATATAGTGTTTGATAATATAGATTTCCTACAAAGAAAATAAAGTGCTTAAATATAGCTTGAATTCGCATACTAAATATAGTTATAACAATTTTAACACATCCATCTTATAAGGAAATAAAAAGTTAAAATATTTATTGCCTTGAAAAAAGAAAGAAAAAATAGGTGAAAAAGAGAGAGAGAGAGAAAGACTAAGGAGAGAAAAAATGAGACAATAAGACTCTTATTTTGTAGGAAATTTTTTTCTATTTTACAATATCAAAAAATTAGGNATTGGTGGGATATTATGAAAGGTGAAAAAAAAAGAGAGAGAGAAAGACTAAGGAGAGAAAAATGAGACAATAAGACTCTTATTTTGTAGGAAATTTTTCTCTATTTTACAATATCAAAAAATTAGGAAAAATATATAAATGCTTCTACTTTTTGCATCGCAGAAAAAAAATTAAAACAAAAAAAATGCAATTATTACCAACCGTCCCCCCCCCATATGCCCGAGCATCAAAAGAGCAGGGGGACAGGTCACCGCTTACCCGACATTCCTATAAATAAACTTAACCTGCAAAATAGTAACCAAAGCTATCACAAAATTCTTACCTATTCCTGAATACAAATTTGTTCAAAAATACTAACCTGCTTCACCTGTTCCAATACTAGCCTGTGGCGAAATACCATCTGTTCAAAATACTGCCTGTTCCAAAATACTAGCCTGTGACAAAATATCGCCTGTTCCAAAATACTAGCCTGTGACAAAATATCGGCTGTTCCAAAATACTAGGCTGTAACAAAATATCGCCTGTTCCAAAATACTAGCCTGTGACAAAATACTGCCTGTTCCGAAATACTAGCCTGTGATAAAATAACAGGCTATCTTTATATAACGTTTGTTATGGCTTCGAATGTTGTTGAATTAACATTGATAAAGTCTTCATAGAAAGCAAAAACAATATTTATTGGCAATATAAGTTCACTTGTAACTTACTACATTCACGAACAAATCGTATAAACGTTCTACAAAACAATAATGTTTACATCACGAAATCGAAACTGAAACTAAAACATAACCTCTGTTGCCATTCTTCGTTTTTACAATATATGTGCGCTTANGTGGCCAAGCAATAAATTTTTGGCAAGATAATTGTTTGCCTAGTATTTTGGAACAGGCCTTTGGAAGTAACCTGTTATTTTTATAACAGGTACGATTAAATAACAGGTGACAAATACCTGTTCCAGAAAATATTGGCCATCTCTACTTTTGCATGCAATTAGCAGTCGAAGCTGCATCATTGTACCCTTTACGTAAATATTTAATCTTCAGTTGGTAATGGTAAGGTTATTATTGTATTTTTTTATTAATTTACCCTTAATTCCACACCACTGCATAAGTTTATTTTAAGTTCATATGCAATGCCACATTAGATCTACCTCTTACGTGATAAAATTCTCAGGCAAATAACAAAAGCAAGATGGTTTATCCGAAATAAAAACATACATCGCGACCTCAACATAGATTTTTTAGATCATCATATTGCAAAGCTAAATTTCAGATTTTTTGAAAAAACCATAAATTGTGACACCGCAGGATTCAACGAAAATTTTACTTTTGAAAACTTAAGAGAAGACATAAACCTCAGGCCAATGGCAGCTTAATTTTTTAGTGACGTAATTTTATCAAATATTTAAATTCCTTTTACTCCAATTACCAGAAAGAACCACCCTAAAGATCACAATTCCAAGACGAGTGGGAAAAAGGCCGCTAACGGCCCCAGGTGCCCAGATGAAGATTGATGATGAGCTCTTACGAGGTAAGATTTTTAATATTCCAAATTGACCAAAATTTCTGAGAGCTTTGGTTTTTAAATGTCCACTACTCTATAAAATATTTTGAATAAAGCGTAGGAGTTGGCAAGCC